CCTAAAAAACCCACTGCGCAGGCTCGAAGGGTAAAGACCTTTCCCAAATCTTCGTTCCCGAAGACTGGGCATGAAAATGAATATATCAAGTAAACTGCAACACTAATCTGGATTACTTTGTATTTTAAGTATTTCTGCTTGAAGTAATCTCTAGAAATTCATTCAAATGCAAACTGAATTACAATTAGAATAGGAATACCACCAAAATTACATTTGTGTTAGTTAATGTTTGAGATAATTTGGAGGGGTGGAGACTGTTAAGGCCTGCCCCAGGAAAAGGGGAGGGGGGTGTATCAATAATTGCCTTGGGGTGGATTAGAGTGAAACCACACTGAATAATCGGTGTTTGAAAACATATACTGGTAAGGTTTATTTTAACAATTCTGTATCAACAGGTATCAACAGGGGGCCCTGCGCAAGAGTTTCTGTGTCTGGCATGGTTCCCACCTTTTTTTAGATTGGCAGAGGGGGGAATGGGCTTTTATGGGCCGTCAGAGGTCCTGCCTTTTCAGGGCTTGACACCTTCAATTGCCCATCAGAGGTATAATGCAACAGTCAAAAGCCTGCAAGCTCGGCTCTTCACTGGAGGGAGGGATGGGCCCAAGTGTCCATCTGAGGTATAATGCAAAAGTCAAAAGCCTGCAAGAGTCTCCTAGAATGCATAAATCATCAACCATTTCAGTCTCTGACAGAGACCTCTGACAGAAGTCTCTTCCCTCACACTCAATACCCCTGGTTTCTCCAGGGGTACAGAGAGAACAAATATGCCTGGATGTAAGTGAAAAAATAATTCTTTACCAAGAAGAAATGCTACTATTAATAGTGATAAAACTGGGTGAGACCAACTGATGAGGAGAAACTTCTCAAGCCCTGCCCACTGGACCAAATGAAGATGGCAACCAGTCTCCTCAACCTGGAAGAAACACACGTGGCCACAGGACAGGGATCAGATGGCCGCCCCTCCATGTGTTTCGCCATCCCCACACCCAGAAAACCTGGCAGGAATGGTTGCAGAGCCAGTGCTGGAAGGAAACGGCAGATAGCAGGGATTCAATACTGGCAGGTGCTTGCGTGGTGATGAAGTGTGGCTGCAGTGCCAGTCCAGGGCAGGGCTGTTGACCCCCCCAGGTGACTGGAAGGACCTCAATACTCTGGTTGGATCCAGTGATGAGACTTTGTTATTGTAATGTCGGTCAAAGTGTTGGTTTAAGAGGTGGCTGTAGTCCTGTCAAAGTGGTGGTCGCAGTCTGGATCTGTCAAGGTGGTGGTGGAAGCCCCAGGTTTAGGAGGTGAACCATGTGGAAGGGCAGCCATCTGTCCTGTGTATGTTTTTTGCAGGTGGGGGAGGCTAGCCACTGTCTTGATTTGGTCTGGTTGGTTTTAACCCAGTTTTATCAGTATTGTTATTGGCATCGTTCTTGGTAAAGTTATTTTTCCACTTACATTCAGGCGTATTTGGTCACTCTCTCTGTATTGGAAAAACCAGGGGTACTGAATCTGAGGGGAAGACTTCTGTTCAAGGTATCCACCTCGCTGAACTACCTCAAACCAAGACAGCTAACTATCATCAAAAGCTCATTTGCAAGCACCTGCAAGCAGCACTTTTTGCCAAATAAGAGCAGGCAAGATTATATTTCATTTGACACAATAAATTTTCTAAAGTAGAGAATTAAAAATGTTTGTAGAACAAAGAACTTCTTGTAACCAAGGCTGATTATAATTATGAGTGCTTCAGCACTGTCAAAGTACCTTGGAATTGCTCATTGTTTAACCTGGAAAGTCTACTAAAACATGATGTCAGTATTACCTGAGAATATGCACAAAATAAAAGAGTCTCACTGGCTTAATCACTAGAATTTCACATTTAGAAATAAGTAAAAGTGTTATGATAAACATTTTTTGTTCTAAAACAGTTTGAAGAAAAATAAATAAATAAGCAAATAAAGTAAAAATACAACAAGAAATAAAAAAAAGGCCAACTCCCCCGACCAAATCCAGAAAACCAAACCAAAACACTGAAAAAATAACTGTATCAGAAAATACATGGACTGGCTATCTTTTGTTAATACATAAATAGGATGAGTGATTTGAAGACTTAAAGTAAACAGGTGCAAGGTGGTAATACCTTCCCAGACTGTATTATACACTTTTTATTGCATTTCTGCTTTTTTCAAAAGCTTCAAATACGAATACAATATAACATACAGAAAATGTAGTGTCATTGTACCAAAATACTAAAGAACATTCAAGGTTTCAAGATAGGCTTATATTTCCAAGATCCTATTATATGCCTATAACTAGCTATAGCTGTCTTCATTAGCATCACCTGCACTCTCTCAAAAACATAAACAGATCTTGTGTATTTCTGCCAAAACTTTATATCCAAACTTTTATGCCAAACTTTCATAATCACAATTTATTTTTCTTTAAGGCAACAAAATGCAGAAAAATATAACAATTAAATGTAATGACAGCATCAAAAGTTGAAAAACTATCTGTAGAACAATTTAGTTATTTCACTAGGAAATCACATAAGTCTGTATCAATCACAGTCCTTTGCAGAATTGAGTTTATGAAGGCAGTCTGCTCTTCCTTGTAACCTTGTAATACTACCTGCAAAAAGGTATTCCTGTTGCTAGGTCAATTTCCTTGCAATACACAGTTTTCTGTACTGAAGTATTCTGACAAGCAAGAATGTTGGGGGCTCTGCACTGTATGCATACTCAGAAGAATCGCTACTATATAGTGAGTCATATTTTTCCTCTTTATTGAAGTGCCAGTTTGGATCCCATCAAATCTAAACAGCAAATAGTGCTCCCTTGGGGTAAGATTTTCTAGTGAACCACTCCATACGAACACTAAAGAGCTGATGATAAAGATACGAATAACCTGTGTACCTTCTCTTGGATTACTGCTGCCTTAATTTTAGGCTCTAAATAATTTTCAAGATCTGTAAGTTATCAGCTCCTGACAGACTAAAAAGATGGGAAGGAATGAATTGTCTCCTGAGCAACACTTCTTTCCAGCAAGCGATTCCTCTAATACAGCATAAAAAACTTAAAAAAGTAAAATCTCAAGGATGTGAACAGCTACAGCAATCCACAGGTTTGCCATTACTCATGTTGGATCTCACTATAGGATGCTTTCTGGATTTTAGTTTTGTGATTACTACTGATGCAGCTGGTATGTCAAGATGGACAGTGTTTTCAAAGGCATATTTTGGGGCTGGTTTACTGGGTTTCAGCAGTGAAATTTTTTTGTTATTATCCCTGCCTTTTGTTATTGTTCCACAACCTTTTCATTAATTGGCTTTGCTTGACTTTTCATTATATGTTGGATGCATTTGTACTGATTGATATATATGGCACTAAGCATGTGGAACTGAGAATGTAATCTCTTGTTCACAGAGCCAATGCTGATGAAATTAATGTCAAAGTCACAGACTCCAAGGTGCAGCAAATTATAAAGATGATGGTGTTGATACTCACGTTTTTTGTATTTCTTCCCCTTGGAAGTGCATGTCTTACTTTGAAGTAAGGGTGACTGTTAAAGCTTGTTAAAGTTTTAGCTGAAGGACAGTAATAGACCATTTTCTCCCTGTACCTCTGTGGTTACTGTGTTTTTCTGCTTTGTCTGTATCGTTCTCTACTTTTTAGTAAAAACTGGTTTTTTTGTTTCTACACATTGCTCAAAAAGCCTCATCTCTATTTTCAAATTTACAGTAAGTCCAGGAGGGAGGGCTTCTATTGCATCAGAGGTCCCACCTCCCTAGCAACATTGTCTTTAACTCAAAACACTTAGGCATGCACGGAGAAAAAAACAGAGAAGTTACCCTACTGTTTTTCGATGTACTCCCCAAGCTTTCTGATGGTTGATACTACTGATGAAAGATCTTATTCCAATTTTTTCTCAGAAGATCTGTTCTTCATCATTGCCTTGAATTTCTTCGATGTACTTGTCAGGATTTTTCAAAGAGCTACAGCTTTCAGCTGGCTCTGTATCACTCTGAATCAGCTTCCCTTAAAAACTGATAGTGCGTTTTAGGCACTGGGAGAAAATGGATTACCCCTTTATACAGCTTTTCTTTTGCTGTAGTAATTGACTGTGTTGAGCCCAAGGAAAAAGCTCTACATTGAAGTTTTGGGTTCTGAGCATGTCCAGAGCCTAAGCAGAAAGGCTTTAGGAAATGCAGTAAGATATGTGCAGCTGCAGGAGGATCTCAGAGAGTGTGTATCTTTGCAGGGTCCAACATTAGTATGATAGAGATTTCTGAAACAGCTGACTCCAATTTTCTTTAATAACTACTCAAGAATCTGAATTCTATAAACTTGCATTTTTTTGTATGTAATCTTCACAACACATTTTGTAGTAGTGAGTTCCATAAGTCAATAAATATAAAGCTTTATATGAAGTACTTTAAATCTGTTTTGATGATTTACTTGAATGAGATTTGATTTTGTTATGAGAAATAATGAATATTGCATCTCCTCTAGACCACTCATTTGTAACTATCCTATCTCCTTCATAGTGGTTTGTTTTGGTTTTTGGAGGTGGATGGTGTAGGTTGTTATTTTTCTCCTTTCTAAAACACGAGAAACTACTCAAGAGTTTCACATTTTTCCTTCAACTTATCAGTGTCACCACAGAAGCACTCATCCGGGGGCAATGAAGTATTTGAGCTTGTAGTATTAGTAATAAGGTGAAAGGATAGCAGACTACAAAGAAATTAAAAATAAATGAAGGAAAAAGCCTAATGAGCCACTGCTATAAAGCAAAGCCAAGAAACTTAGCTATTTGTATAATTAATTAAAAAAATACTGTAAGGTAAATGTGTATAGATTAGTCAAGACATCAGAGCTAGTATTTTAATAAGGGAGGTTAAAATACAGCAGGAGGATAGCTATAGAAGCAGTATGAAGCAAAAAATAGTCAATGTTCATGCATAACAGCACACACTGGGTTCTGTACTCATGCCTACTATCAGTTGTGTGGGTAAAATGAACAATTATTGTTCTAAAAAAGGCAATTGCACTGGAACTTAGATTGGTTCCCCCTTCCTCTCCCATGCATCCTTACATTATCTTTAAAACTCATCACAAAACCACATAAAAACCATTCTATAAAAGCTGTGACATTAAAACCATTCTGTGATAGTATACAACCCTTTAGTTTTCTATCTACTGAAAAATTGTTAAAGTTCCTATATCAATAAATGGCAGTCTGGTTAATACAAGACATACTTTAATTTTCAAGTGTATAGTCACTACAGATATGCAAAAGCAGAATTGTTGTACTCAAAGTCCACAATAACAATAGCTACAGAAAAGACCGAGATTACACACAATGTCAGCACTGAGTCAGAAGGAAGCCCTCAACTGACATAACTTAGAAGCTGTAGCAATCAACAGAACAGAGACCTGATAAACTAGGTCTGAAAAAGCAAAGACAGACACTGTTAGGAAACATAGCAAAACACAATATGGATCACGTGGGAAGCATGTAGAGGTAAAGTTGCACAGTCAGCCTCTGCAGCACTTCGCACAGAAAGATGTTTCAGCTTTCCCAGCTGTTTATCTCGAAGGCAATACATTTGTTTGCAAAGGCACATTCTTGAGCAGATACTTCCCTGTTAGTTCCAAATGTCTTCAAGGCCATGTACAGGGGGAACTGTGTTACTCTGAATTTTGCATCCTCAGCGTACAGCAAAATACTAAAGGAAATAAGGAAGACTTGAAGCAACCTAAAAAATCTAAAACACGGAAGTAATATATAAAGTATGATTTTTAAAGTAAAAAGGACTGTTAAACATCTTTACATTGTCTATTACCTGAATTTGTGCCTTATAAAAGCAGCTGAAATACAAATTCCACAATGCAAATCTTGTTATAAAACAGAAGGCCAACTTAAACAGGTAAAGTTGAGAAGTTAAGCAGTTAAAGAGATTTTTTTTTTCAAGAGACTTTTTTCTTTTGCCATATTTTACACTCTTCAAAAAAATAGAAAAAATCATCCAACAAGAAGTGATTTACAATATAAAAGAAATCTATTATGATGCCTAAGTATATCCTATCTCCGGATTAAGAGTACTGGTGTTGTTTTGTTTTTAAGTACACATGTAGGTCACACTATTTGTGAAAAGCTTCTAGGCGCATTCTGTTTGGATCTTCTGGATGTCTCAGGGCCATTCCGAATCGCAGCAGCAGCTCAATGTAAGGTGGCCAAAACGACTCATTGATTGTTACATAAGGCTCATGTGGTGTGGTCATTAATTTATTTATCAGAATCTGGAAGACCAAAAGGATAAGATTTAGGAAATAAACAAACAGCTAGATTTTTATCTCCTTTAACGAAATTTATGCCTGTAATGTAGGCAATATAAGAAATACTGACTACAGGAGAAATACAAGACCTGTTCAAAGTAGAAGCAAAGAACTTCCAATTAACTTCATTGCATCATTTTTTATGTAAAAATTAGAAACAGAATTCTCCTTTTATTGAGAATAAATATAGACTAAATTACTTATCTAAATAGAGAATTTGTTAATAGAGTTAAAAACAAAATCAGTTTTGACTCACGTTTACAGTTCATGGAGACAGTGTTTATACCCTCATATTGCTCATCAGGAATACTGCACACATTACAGATTAAGTAATCTTACCCATCCCATGGTGCTCTCTCTGTTGATCTCAGATATTTAATCTTTCCACTCAGAGGTTCTAAATGTTATGCTTTCCCAATTTCAGTAAGTACAAAATATTGTCTGCCCCTTATTGCTAAAGACAAACTCAAAATCCTTGCTACCGGACTATATTCTTTTTTCACTTGTTGCTATTTAAAAAAAACAAACTCCAAATACAGAACTGCTCCTCAGAACATTCAGAAGAATTGTTCCAGTTTTGTACTTATTTGACCCAATTATGAGAATTTACTCCAAATGCATTATTTGAGATGAATTTTTACTTAGTCTCTTCTGTCATCTGATATTCCAAAATAGCCTTTAGGCTGTAACATTTATATCTGTATGTAAAAAAAACACTTTTCAAATTTAACAGGGACTTTAAGCTAGAACCACATCACTCAACAAATAAAAACCTCCCAGAAAATAAAGATAAGGGACATTGACACTTTAGGCCAAGACAGTTAAAATCAAAAACAAAGCTGAATTTTTCAAAGTAGTACATTCCTCCAAATGGAAATCAGGCATTACTTGGATGTGTTCACATTTTAAGAAGATTAACAATAACATAAAATATGAAGGGCAATTTTTAAGCATTAGAAGAACTTTAAAATTCTAATTCCATGAGAAACTGTGCCAATTCTAAATTCTGATCTGTTTTCAAGCTCTGCCTAATTTGACATTAATAGGTATGCTCAGATATCTGAAGCATGTAAAATTATTTTGATGATGCAAGCACAAAGCCTGGGTTTTAAACTAAAGTACAACAGTGTCATAGTGATCAGATAACAGCATCTTAGTACCAGAAAGTTTTTATCCATCATGTTGTGCCTCAGAAAAAAACTTTTTCCCCCCGGGACATTTTATATACATAGGTGCTTTGAACTGTTTGAAGAGAAAGGATAGAGGAGGAATAAGAAACTTCACTTCAAATGCTACATTTAAGGCAAGAAGGAAAATTATGCTTTGTAATTCAAATTCATAGATTGCACTGTAATTAAAAACTCACACAAAGTACTTATAAATTAGAAATGCATTAGTTGGACCGGTTTCCTCATATGAGACTACATATTAGTTGGTCCTTCTGAGATTACACATGAACTGGTCCTTCTATAACTGTTATTGCATAAAGTTCAGAAAAATTTTTATTGAAACAGTACAAAATATAGTGTGAAATGGACCAATTTTTTTGTTAAGCACTGTATTTTTCTCTCCTAATATGAGCCACTAAGGTGCATAAAACTTCTTTAAATTAAACATTATAAAATCAAGAAAGAAGAGATAACCACACTCCAGCTTAAACTGAAGACTATTGCCAAGGCTCTTGTAAAAATTGGGGGTTTATTTTGATAGGAATTAGAATAGAAAACTGACTTACCTGAATATCTCTTCTTTCAGTTTAAAACCATTTCCCCTTGTCCTATCACTATCTACCTGTATAAAAAGTTGCTCTCTCTCTTTTTTACAGGCCCCCTTTTAGTACTGGAAGGTTGCAATGAGGTCTCCCTGAAGCCTTCTTAAAGATGTAAAATTCTTAAATATTCTATATTAACTATCTTAACCAAATGCCAGATACTTTCATTCATCTTAGTAATATTAATAAATGCATACCACTTTATTGCTATTGTTATTATTATTATATGATCTGAGTATTGAAAAATCCTCCAAATCTCTACATAATAAAACTATCTTACCTCTAAAATTTCTTGCAATGTTATCAGTTCTACAGCTGGCTCTGAAGAAAAGTTCTGGAAAGATAAACATCCCCACAGCCAAATTAACAAAACCTCAAACTAGTAAGGAAAGATGTTAATTGACAAATGAAAATAATCACACAATTATTTGATTGCATAGTGCACAACAGATGAAAACTTTTACTTATATTTAGTCATGAGAGAAATACAAGGTAGTATTTAAAACTAGTTTTAAAACCAGTTCAAAATCCTACACTTCAAATGTAACATTTTTTTAATTATTAAAAGAGATTAAACGATCATGTTTGTGTCTATGTTTAAATAAAACCAAGTACATCACATTTATAATGTAGTATAGTGCAGAACCTTCTATGAATATGAATATGTTAGGGAAAAAATGTTTTTCATGAGCTTTGGATAAATATTTACAATACAAATTTGACAAAACTCAAGACTTCACTTCATAGTGCCTTAATATTTTTTCATGACTTGCCAATGAATTCACTCTTACTTTAAATTCAATTTTGAAAAATGAACAAGCTTAAGAAATACAATAATCAAAAATCGGGGGGAGAGGGAAGGTGATGATAAAATATTAAAAAATTACTTGTTTTCCTTTGTAGCAAGCAAATCAAGCCATTTGTCTATACACCAATAGATATTCCTTAGGTAGCAATGCTACTGGATCTGCTTGTGCTGTTGCATGGTGAACCTGATTCTTTAATTTTTCAGTTTCATCCTTTTTACCCTTCCACTTCACTTTCAAAAAATTAAGGAGGTAATGCAGCACTGGCACCTGCTTACTCAGCATTGCTACTGAATATGTCAATTAAGTCCTAAGATATTAATAGCTGTGCTGGACCTTATAGGAACTTCTGGAACAGAAGAAGAACACAAGCAAGAAAGAAAAACTTGTAAAAAGCAAGTTCTGGCACCTTTTTTTCAGTCACACTTTGTAATATTATCACCTTCAGAGTCAGAAGGGGGACACACTGCTTGCTCCATGGCAATGTTGCAAACCATGGAGGCTCAATAATGCCTATCTTTGTGCCTTTATCTTGATACTTGGCTGAGGAAATAGAACTTACACTAAGTGAAAAACGTTCCTTAGAGCAAACACAAGGATACTTCACAGCCTTGGCTGTTTTATTTCCCTGGTCAAAAATACTACTTTGTAACTTAAGGTAGTGGGTTCAATATTCACGTTTCAAAGCTGAAATCAGATTATGGCTTCGGCAATTATTAAAATTGATTGTATACAAAGAATAATATCCTAAGGATATTAGTGTGAAGAGGTTTGCACTCTCACAGAACTAGCAAACATATTTTGCTAGGTTTATCATACACATTGTATACTTTGTAAAATTATTTTACTTATATATTTTGTCACTGATACAATAAGTACCTTTAATTAATTAATGATTATAAAGTCAATTTAAGCAGGATGTGCAGCATTTAGCTATTTAACCTGAAAGGCACCTTCTTCTCCCTTTTGTCAGATAGATTCGCATAAAGAATATTCCTCAACTTATAACTTTTCATATTCTTCTCTTGAAAAAAAAAAAAAAGTTGTTTTTTTATCCAAGATTTAAAATGCAAGCTAATTCTTACCACAGTCACTACCTATATATATTAAAGGTGTTGGACTATAGCAAGGGAAGCTAACCTGGGCTGCTGTGACCCAGTCTTCACTTGCACTCCCAATCCCAGATGCATGTGCCTGCTGAAAGAAGGGTGGAACTAGACCAACGAGGCTTCTAGCAGTTCACACTACTCTGCAGCTGTGTCCTACAAATGTCAGCCCCACATATTTTTCTCACACAGGACTATTGTGAACCTAAGATGTTTCCACCAAGTGCAGTTTACGGGGGACCTGTAGTTAAGCCACTGAGACCCAAATGAGTCAAACAATATAGAAGAAACTGAATTCACAAGGAGTGAAAAGAAAGAAAAAGACATGTCATAAAACAAACTGTGTTTAAGAGTTCAGGAAATGCATAAATAAAAGTTAAACTAAGGAAAGATAAAACCTTGTGCTGAAATTATTCAAAATAAATTTTTTGTTTTAGTAAAAGTGATTGGTGACAGCCAACATGCCTTCATTGAAGACCAACTGCACCCAACAAATTTGGTGGCCTTTTATGATGGAGTTATAGTGTTGCTGGAAAATGGAAGAGCAACTAATGTCATCTACCCAGACTTGTGCAAAGCACTTAACATCCTTGCATCTAAAGCATGACATCCTTGTCTCTACATTGGAGAGACTGAGAGCAAAATGTGTCATATTTACTAATAGTGGGAAACAAAGGCAGTATGCAGAAAAACTAAGATTAAACAAAATAAGATGTTTGAATAATACATTGAAAAAGATCATCATGTCTTGAAATCTCCACTTGGTATTTTTATATGCAAAAGATACAAAATACCTATGTGCAAAATCAAGATTTTTTTTAACTAAAAGCTTCCTCAGTTGCAAATAACAAATAGAAAGAGACAAGGGTGTAATTAGTTGCTTTGGTGATGGATGTGAGCTAGTAGTTTTGTTTATAATCCTGCTTTTTACCAGGTTCCAAAAAGATCAATCCAAGTGAAAACAAATATAGAAAATGGGTATTATTAGGATAAGCCAGGGAATTGAAAAATAGTCTTACGTGAGAAGAACATAAAAGTGTTGCTAGTTCAAACAGCAAAACGAAGAAAGAGAAGGTATAAGATTGCTGTCTAAAAATGAATCAGGAGGAATAAACACAAGAAAAAAAAAAGACTATTCTAAGAAAAATATTGGTGTAAGAATACATGGATCTGTGTTAGACATGGATAAATTTAGACTGGAAGCTATGAGAGTTTCTAACCAGAGTACTGAGGTGCTAAAAAACCCCCTGTAGAAGCAGTAGTAATAAAAATTATCTGGTTTAAAATGGAGCCCAATGATAATATTAAAGGAATTATATTTTGTGGTTGTCTGAAATAACAGGGAACTGGATGAAAGAATCCTTTCTGTTTCTGTCATCTTAAGTATGCCTGAAATCAAAATCAAGTCCCTGCCTTTACTTTTCAGCTTTTTCGTATCTATCAAATACTAGAGTAATAGTTTTATTTTTACTGCAGACTTTGAATTTATTATGCAAAATACTCCTTGGCTGCCTATTTTCCCTAAAGTTTTGAGATAATTTTTGGCCCAATTTGCCTGAACAAAATCTGATGGTTAACATTCTAAACTACTCTGTAATTATAAACACTTGTCCTTATTGTTCTAAAACCACTGTTAGACAATTAAAATTTGCTTTGCCAAGGAAAACAGGAATCCACTTGCCTAGCTGAGTAAAAAAGAAAAAAGGTTAATTTGGATTGAACCTCCCACCATTTTTGAATTTGGCACAGCTTGCAGTTCAGTAGGAAATACAATACAGTATTATGCATTAAGAAAATATCCAGCTAGAAACACCCTTAAATAATATAAATGAACCTGAAATATATAAATTAAACCTAAAGGATCATCTGCAAGAACTATACTTATTTCAAAATATAACTGCAGATTCTATGCTAGTGACTTTAAACAGATACTGCATTTAATTAAATAGAAATTGAACATTTTAAATTTAATAGTCATAGAAAAATCTTACCCTGTTTTTGGCACTTCCGCTATCCTGTGGAAGGGGAAAATGTTCATCCAGGAATTCACCCAGTGCACTCAAGAGTTCTTTCTTATATGTCTTTAATTGCAACATTTTATTGTGCAGTTCCTCCAATCTTCTAATTTCCAAATAGTAAAAACATAGCAATAGAGTATGAAATCAAATAAAATAATTTAAAAGTTCCTCATAAGTAAAAAAACCCCTCATATTCAGTTCTTATAAATGCAACATCTTGAATGACAGAACATAGTAGCAATATTTTCCATGTTTCAAATCTGGATTACTGAGCAATTATTTGAACTATTTAGCAAAACAAAGAGTATGTTTTATGAGTTTGTTTGTTCATTTGCTCCTGTTGATATTTGAATTCTTCAATATAAAAACTGAACAGTGTAGAAATACCTTGTTTTGTAAAGTTGTTCAACTTCGGATTTTGTCTCTTCTTCAATTCTGTTAAGACTATTTACTATCTGTTCCTGTTCCTCACACCACTGCTGTTCTCTTTGAAACACGAAAAACAATAAATGCCACAACAGAAAAATAGTTCTTCTGGGTGGTCAAAAAAAAAAAAGCTTAACAGCATTCTAAATTCCAAATTATTATATTACCTTTCCAGATCTTCTTCTAGTTGTTTATTCTTTGAACAAACTGCTGATAGCACCTTTTCAAGATCATTCTTTACTTTCTGCAACTATAAAAAAGTAAAAATGAAACTACAGTTTGCAGGTAGCCCAGTCTGTAGTATTCATTCTATGTAAGGCTACATCTCTAAATCTGATACAGAATGCCAAAATGATCTGCAAATTCTTAAGAAATAAGGCTATAGCGTGACACACTATTTTAGAATCCAGTTTAAAATGCAGGAGGCTCTTTAAAACGTTACTGTCACCAGTTGCTCATTAGTGTTTTATTGAAACTTTGCAAAACAACATAGTTAATTTTACCTGAAGCAGATTATGGAGCACACACATGAACTGCTCAGTTGATGAATGACTGAGGAGACAATGTCTACAGCACCAGGGCTGTATTGTCTGAATCACTGCAACTGCTTGCAAGAATGAATCCATGCTAACTGCACTAACATAAAAAGTATAGAAAACAAAGATGCTGCAAAAGAGACTAATGGCTTCCATGATTTAAATGGTCCTTGATGCTACGGACATATCTGGGAGAGGAAAGAAGGAGAAATAAAACTACTGCAGCCAGCAGCTATAGGCACTGCTGAATTTAGGGAACAGTGGACTCTCACTAGGCTGGGTCATTCATTACAGAGTAGATAAGGAATACATGTTCAGGAATACATTCAGTGCAGGTGTAAAGCTGCAGTGTGAGCTGCTGGTTGAGCCCCTGGTGGGCTGGAGCCAAAGCCTGAGCCAAGATGCCATGAACTGCTGACCCCTTGCATAACAAAGGGCCCAGGGACCTGTGGGCCTGCCAGGAGACCTGGACACTGAGTCTCCCCAGGAGCCGATGACTCCCTGACTTTCCAGGGTTTAGACCAAAAAGGTATAAAAGCTCAGGGTATAAAGGTATAAAAGTTTTGGGTCCCTCCTCAGAGGGAACCTTTGAGCTATTATTTTGTTATTATTGCACCATTATTAAATTATTTTAAGGTTCTGGATGTCTTGAGACTTTCGTGGGAAACCTGAGGTCAAGCCTCAGGTATGGATTTCTTACTCAGGAAGGCATAAGTAAGGAAACCTGTCTTAAGGGCAGGTGTCAAGAGGATGGGGTGAGGCTCTTTTGAGTGGTGCCCAATGATAAGACAAGGGGCAACAAGCACAAACTTGGAACACAGGAAGTTCCATCTGAAAATGAGGAAAAATTACTTTAATGGAGGGTGAGCACTGTAACAGGCTGCCTAGAAAGGCTGTGGAATCTCCTTGTCTGGAGATATTCAAAAGCCACCTGGACACAATCCTGTGAGGGACTTAGGGACAGGGTTTAGTGGTGGATTTGGATGGCTGGACAGGGGCAAAACACCGTTTATTGTGTGTAACTTACTCACTGACTTCTGCAGTAAGTCAGTTTAAAAGCTCATTCATTACAACTAGAAGATTTTAGTAGTTACAATACAGGGGAAATGCCTGAAGGAAAATACACAGTATCTTAGCAGTAGTCCATCCCAAGAACAGTCATAGGAAAATGCAGCAATTTTATATAGTTTTTCTTTTTTTCCCCCAGCAAAAGTTTATCATCTCTTAACAAACAAAAAGACTTACCTCTTCTTTTCCTAATTCTAACAATAAATATGGATTGGTAGAAATTGCTGAAAAATAAAATGAATTGGTGGGTTTTTTTCACTGAATGATAAAGACTTATTTATACTGAAAAACAGCCCAGTTAGAGAGAAACTTGTGTAGCCTCTAAAAAACTGGTTTGGCTGTCAGCACCAATTTAACCTTATTTTGTGGTGTCCTGCTGAACTAACCTACTATCATGATTCAGCAATTTAAACTAGACTGAAAAAAAGTGCAGTGTTAATGCCTCTGTTATACAGTGCAGTTACAATGCCTCTGAACTAGCCCCAGGTATATAGGCATAGGTACATAATGACTGTACATCACACTTCAATATACTTCAAGATAAAAAAGCCTGATTTTTTTCAGCAGAAAATATTCCATCAACATTGCCAATGTGGGCAATCAGACTTCACCAGTCTTCCAATTCCATGTTAAACAGCCTCCAAATGCTTCACCAGGACTATAAACCCTACTATTTTTAAGAACTTAGAAAGCATGTCCCCATCCCTTCTGTTCACAAGAACAGCTACATGTAGGGAGATGAAAGGCCTAGCAATATCAATATTCTAAATCTAACACTGAGCAACAAGAGTACTTAAGGGAAAGCATGGTACAATTCAAGAATATGGAAATGTTTCCCCAAAATGCTTCTGCAAAATGCAGTGATTTATGGATCATGGATTTTCAGAATAAAAAGTGAACTGTTTTACTTTACAGCCTTCAGTGTACTCCAGTCAATTCTCACTTCCATGTCAACTTAGACCATCTGTATACAAGTATGACTTTTTTTGAAAGTGAACTATTTGAACATACTAACAGGAGACATGAAAGCTACTCTAACAGATTTGAATCTTAATATGACAGGGATTTTTTGGTGAAAGTTTGGGCTTCAAATCTCTTAATCTTAAAAATAATTATTTAAATAAAAGCTTTTCCTTTAACAAAAAGGAAAACCCTTACTCCTTTCATGAAAGCACTAAACATCTCCTAAATACATACTCTTGATTTCATTAATTTAGAAAATACTTTTTTTGTCATGTTACAGTTTTTACCTCAACAAATTTTGAGAAGCCTTAGATGAGTAGTTTTAAAAGCAGTGTTTGTTCTGAGATGAAAATCATAAAAATTAATGAGTTAAAAATACACAAAATTACATGCCCCAGTAAAATCCCTTTTACTTAGGCAATTACTGTTTCTAAATATTGACACAAAATTTGACTAGTACGCTGCCAAATTAAGCTTAAGAGCTGCAGGAGGTAGTGGTCTGTGCTATTATTAGAACAATACTTCTTTAATTACATGAATATCCTACAACCCATGAAAAAAATCATCGGCAAACTTTTATTCCCATTAACTGGTGTATTTGAAGAAACCCATACAACTCTTCCTCCTGCAACTTCCTGCTGACATGATTATTATAAGCCCTCACTTATCAATTATTATCAATCTCTACTATTGCCTTCTAACGCTTCCTCATTTTTAGATACCTAATCCTGAGTTCGTGCTTCTTGTTCAATTCATATTGAGTGAGTAAGAGAATAGAAGGCCACATCTTCCTGGGAAAGAACCACTAACTGTAATTTAGTGCAGGAACAATGTAGATCTGAGACACTGGGGCAATGCATTTACAGCTGCCATTGTAAAGTCACTGGTTGTTTTATCTACTAACAGTTAAAGCTTTTTCAATTGTAGAATCACTACACTTGCAAAAATCAAATGTCAGACAGAACTGTCTAGTGATACATAGCACAATTACTAAGCAAAATACTACCAGATGCTAGGAAAGTAAAAGCCACTACCATGCACATGTTTACAGAAACTCCTACTAAAACAAAACAAAAAGGTATTTGGCAGAATACTGTTATTTTGCAAAGAAAAATAGAAATTATGCAGAGACCATGCCTGTTTTATACGGTTTAAAACACAATTGCTTTCATTTCCTTAGTTTGCAAAGGTGAAAGTTAAATTCTATTTTTATAAGCCAAATGCTTTTTAAAAAGTTTAAATTCAGCTGATTTAGCAGATCTAGAGCTACATAAATAGCAGCAGAAATGGAGAAAGAACAAGAGACTAAAGTAAAAGCTTCGCAAAAATAAAATTTGCATTGTGAACTCAAGTCTGTTTGCCAATATTGTGCTCAAAAAAATGTAGAACTGCCAAGTTATAACCTCTGAAAATAAGGTTTAAAATTGAAATGCTGACAGGCCCTCATTTACAGGAAATTAACTGGCCACTATTAAAAGCAGAAACCAAAGTAACAAGACAGCCTGACATTCATGCTCTATTAGTAAATTGTATGAAATCAGTATTTCTGCTATTTTCATTTAGATAATTTCAGATAATGCTTTCAATTAAGTAATTCAAGACAAACAGATAGATAGAAAAAAGCCAAGATGGACAGACAACTAAGCCAAGTAGACTCATCTTCATACAAGCATTATAACTACATATATTCAAATTCTTAGCAGCAATTTCTTTTTAGTTCCCTTGGAAAGGTAGCCAAAAAGGCAAAGCTGTGGCTGAAAAGTATTATTTGCATTACAATATGCATAGATAATTTCTCTATTAAAAAATTAATAATAAATATTATAGTCTGGGAACAAGTAAGAATAGTTCAACAAAGCAGGTCAGCAAGACAAAAAAATAGGTCAAGCCCTAAGGATATTTTTAAGCCAATAGCTTAAAGTTTAATACACATATTTTAGTAAGGAAACTTAACAATCCCAGGTATTTCACCCAGATAAAAACTAAGTGCTTTCAATTAATTTGCTTTAAGCCAGCATCTTATTCATGAATAGCAGCAGGGAACCAGTACATCCTAAATTCATTCAATGCCATATGCTTTTGGTCTACATACCTCTCAGAAGTATTGGAGGCTGACAATTCTTGGAGACAGGCTTAAAAAGCTGAACTACTAAATTATTCTAATAGGGCAAAAGTATCTATTTATAAGAAAGAAAAACTATTTTTTCCCAGCTTCTCTCACGATATGCAGCAAGTACATGGACTTTGAAAGAAGATGGAGAACTGCCTCTAATGTTGATCTGAGAAGGCATTTCCATCTGGCCACATGACAAAACATTGGAATTCACCATGGGCTGTCTAAAACACATTCCTATCATTTTGTAAACACTAAAAACGTAACAGTGAGTGCTACCAGTATACTAACGACAGTGTAGTGTGAACTGTTTTAAGAGTCTCCAAATGGGACATCTGAAAACACAGATTACTTTACTCACACTTCAGTTTTGAATGGTTTTATTTCCAGTCTCTGGCCACATCAGCCTTGTGAGAGAGTGAAATCAGTCAGCACTTATGCTTATGTAAAAAGAAAATTTTGAAGAACTGAGGAATTTATACCTTTTAACTGATAATGCTTAACAAATTTAAAAAATCACTTGTGGTTTGTGCTTCGCAGGATCAGTAAGTGTCCTGGATTTCTGTTTTGTTAAAATAAAACTCTGGTGTCTTTTACCATCTTATCTTGAGCTGAAATCTCCAATCCCTGTTAAATCCAAAACAGGTATTTTATTATGGTGTAATGGGCTTAACATTTAAGGTCTACTCCAAAGTTTCAACTACTACACCATAATACAACATACTTTTGTGAAGTATTAGTAAAAAAATAATCAGAGGAGGTACGGTTAAAACTATACCTGGGCAAATTATTGTTAGCTTATTAGCAATACTTGCAAAGATTAAAAAAATGTAATAGATTCTTAAAAGACAAGATGAAGACAATATTATTTGACAAAGCAGTTCTGTTCTAAAAGGGAAACACAAATGAAAGATGGAGAAGAAACAATCACACAGAGAAGAACATGAAGGAGGGTAACAGCTTAATGGACTTTCGTTAGATAGTAGATAATCTACCTGTAGAACTGATGAATGGTGCCATAAATCATGCTTTTATTTGTGCAGAATTATAAGATTAGGTTATAGAGGAAATCACTTTTAAGTCAACTTAGAGCTGAAGTGCAAAAAGAATAAAGAAATGAAACATACACGCTACTGTGTGAAATATTTAATTTTTAAGTAGTACGAAAACACCACCAGCATCCTTTACAGGGAAACAGTTACTTACTTTCAGGACTTCTCTCTTGGCAGTCTTGATAATCTACTGTTAAAGCTTTCCATCGCAGCATTAACAAGCCAAGCTGTGTAACAAGAAAAGAAGCATCTCTTAAAGTGTTAAGTTGCACTGGTGTAAAATGAGGTAGTACAGGACAGAAGTTAAATTAATAAGTTCATACAGTAGAAAACAGAAGAGCATCTATGACAATAGAACACTTATTCCTTCAAAATATTTTAAAATCACTTGCAGGGATCAAAAACATTTATATTATTTTTTCAAAACGGGGAAATGAGAAGGAGTCAGAGCTGGCATTTTTACCCTAATTTTCTTTGCAATGACTACAACTAAAGAGGAGCTACTAGGAGCAATGACAAATATTTCACATCCTGACTTCTCCTTCATGGCTGAACTTGCTCATCCCACAGTGGGACAACCTGTCCAGAAGGATACTATGATGGACAGTGTCAGAATGACACTTTTCAAGAAGAAATTACATAAGCACTAATTAGGAAATAGTCCAAATAGGTATTGAAGTTACACACCTCTCCATTTTGCTGCCTATGTTAATAATTCATCAGTTGTGTGCTTCAAAGTTAGTAAATCTGTCCTTATCTTGACCCATGAGGCTTCAGTTATATTTCCTTTCCAATATCCAGCTGAGGAGGGATAAGCAGCTTTAGTGGGCACCTGGTGGCAAGACAGGGTCAAACCCACCACAGATGCACTGAGGGTCCTAAGGGAACTGGCAAATGAAGTGGCAAAGCCACCATCCATCATATTTGAAAAGTCACAGCAGTCTGCTGAAGTTTATGAATGTAAAAGGGTACACATAACCCTTATTTTTAGAAACAGAAAAAGAAAGATCCAGAGAACTACAGATTTGTCAGTCTCACCTCTGTGCTTGTAGCACTAAACCTGCATTATATGGGAAAACTGTGGTTTAAACAGGTTTTAAAATGGCTTTTACCTTTTTGCAGAGTCATTGCCCCTTCTTCCCAACACCCCCCACGGTAATGTTATCTCAGGAATGTCCTGGGAAGGTGTCCTGAAGTGTTTTTCATTGGTCCTTGTTAACCCCTTCCTGTGACTGGGTGTTCCTGTAAGCCCCTTGAGACTTCTAATTGGTTACTCTGTGAATCCTCCTAAACCCTATAAATGTAGCATCCCCAACAATAAACTCTCTCTTGCCCCCTCTCCACGCCCGGTGTGCTGTCTCCGTGCCGGCCATGGGGCCATGTGCGGGAGGGGAGGGGGGAGCACCTCTTCCCTCCAGGCTCAGGGCCAGAAGAAACCCCTGAAGAAACCCCTGGAGTTCCCTTTCCCCATCCTTCAAGACGTCGGAATGGTTCCTCAGATGGGAACGGAACTAGAACTGGGCCACCCCACGTCGTGGGTGGGGAAAGGGATCCAGATGTGCTGAGCGAGATCATGGAGCAGATCCTCCTGTAAAATATGCTGAAGCACGTGGAAGATGAGAAGGTGATTGGTGTTAGGCAATGTGACTTCACTAAGGGCAAATTGTGCCTGACAAATTTGGTGGCCTCCTATAACAGGATTACAGCATTGCTGGATAAGGGCAGAGCTACCGATTTAATCTACCTGGACTTGTGCAAAGCATTTGACACTGTCCTGCACGACATCCTTGTCACTCAACTGGACAGACACAGATTTGACAGATAGGTGACTCGGTGCATAAGGAACTGGCTGGATGGTTACTGTCAGAGGGACAGTCAACAGTTCAATGTCCAGGCAAAGACCAGTGATGAGTGGCAATCCTCAGGTGTTGTTTTAGAGACCAGCACTGTGTAACATCTTTGTTGGCAACGTGGACATTGGGATCGAGTGCTGCCTCAGCAAGTTTGCTGACACCAAGCTCTGTGATGCAGCCAACATGCTGGAGGGAAGGGATGCCATCCAGAGGCACCTGGATGGCTGAGCCTGTGCAAAACATGAAGTTCAACAAGACCACACACAAGGTCCTGTACCTGGGGTCAGGGCAAGCCCTGGTATCAATACAGGCTGGAGAATCAATGGATTGCAAGTAGCCCTGTCGAGAAAGACCTGGGGATCCTGGTGGATGGAAAGCTGGATATGACCCAGCAATGTGCTCTTGCAGCCCAGAAAGACAGCCATGTCCTGGGCTGCACCAAAAGCAGTGTGGCCAGCAGGTTGAGAGAGGGGATTCTGCCCCTCTACTCCGCTCTGGTGAGACCCCACCTGAAGTGCTGCAACATCTCTCCTCCTCCAAAGAGAGGCTAGGAGAGTTGACGTTGTTCAGCCTGGAGAAGGCTCCAGAAAGACCTTAGGGCAGCCTTGCACTACCTGAATGGTATTTGCAGGCCTAAAAGAAAGCTGGAGAGGGACTACTTACATGAGCATTGTAGTGATAGGGCAAGGGGCAATGGCCTTAAGCCGAGAGAGGACAGGTTTAGATTAGATATTAGGAAGAATTTTTTTACTGTGACAGTGCAGAGACACTGGTTGCCCAGAGAAACTGCAGATGCCCCATCCTAGAAGGGTTCCAGACCAGGGCTTTGAGCAACCTGATCTAGTGAAAGTAACCCTGCCTATGCCAGGGGTGCTGAAAATAGATGATCTTTAAGGTCCCTTCCAACGCAAGCCACTCTATGAATCTATGGTCTTTACAGAAAACAAAGTATTTAGTGGAAAATAAAAAAACCCAAACAACTGTCTTACCTTGGTATCTGATTGTAGCAGTGTTTCTGTTCCTAGAAGCATTAGCTTGCTTTGACACTGGGTAGAAAAGAAACAAAACACAAGCCATGTTTGTTTACTCTTCCCTTTTGTAACAACAGAACACAATGCTTAGAAAGTTGAACCTAACTTTTTAAATATAGGAATAACAGAGTTGTGACTTGGATCCCACCACATCCCTTAGATCCTTACCCAGAACAGCAAATTAAGAAATATTTTGAAATCACACCACAGTAAAGCAGAACTTAATTAACTGGAAAGCAGAAAAGTAGCAGCTAAAAAAAGATGTATCATTTGAGTAAGAAGGTAAATTATGAGGGAAGAGTTCATATCGGGAAAGGCACTGATCATGTGAAGAACACGAGAAACTGGGAAGAGAGTCATGCACAAGGCTGAACAGGGAAGCTGCTGAGAAGTTAACACACTTTCTGCTACTCCTCTGGCTCTCCAAAGAGATTAATTCCATTTTAATACACATTTTTAGGTTAAAGTCATTTAGGGCAGTAAACCGCACCCTTCAGAAGTGGTCTGATTTTGAGAAGTGCACTACATCAGCTCCCATGATTGCAATGGGAAGAATACGCAGTCTGAAATTCAGGCCACCACAGATATCCAAGGCTTCAACAGGAGACACCTGCTGAACACTTTCTTGTTTCATAACTGTCAGCAATTCAACCTATTCCACGACAGGGCAAGACGTACTCTGCTCAACAGTAAAACTACTAAGCAGTACTTTGGAAACCTTGTTGTTAATGTTTGGAAACCAGAACACAACACAGGATTTCTCCTACAAAAACTGCTAATGATGCCACACAACCATTTGAACATTACATTGTAACCATATACCCACGATCCCACTCAATGACTATTAGTTGTTTAAACTTCTTCCTGAAACATGCGCATTCAGAATGAAAAATCAAAGAAATGAAAATCCTACTATTTTTATCAACTTCCAAAAATAACAGACATTATCACTTCCTGTATTGTTTTGAGGATGATGGGAATGAGATACAAGATATCTAAGACTTTCAATTAAATTCAAAATAGTAAGCATTCTAACTTCCCTTCTAATTTGAAAATTTCAAAGAAAAGTTCAGGTCCTCCAAACACAACTTCAGAAACCCAGACAGAGAATTCCCAGCCACTTGTTACATGCGAACTTACCTTAATACTCAACAGGAAATAAATCCACATTAGTATCTTTAAATCTAATTATGTAAAATTATTACACTGTGAGTTGTCTGTACATTGTTCTACTTTAAGTTTGGAAATACCTTTACTTCCGTTTTTGAAATTTTACTGCTTTGAACCTACAACTAAGAACTCAAGCAGATAGCATTTAAAATTGAGCGTAGCAATTAAGACTGAAAATATAATTTAGAAGATGACCTTTCATGGGACTTGGCAGAATCTTATAGAATGCACAGCATTCTATAAGAACTGACAGAAGTTTATCTTTCCTGGGATTCCTTAAATAAAACTAATCTGCCCTAAAATGTTATTATGTTAGAGAGAGACAAATTTTAACCATGATGATATAACCATCAGTTTGGATAAGCATTTGCAAACATCTTTGTCCTTTTATGCCTCTCCTCCTGTTCTCTCCTTTAAGCTCCAAACTACTTGTGAGCAGCACTGGAATCCCATCTTGTGTGAGGCTAAAGAGAGAAGGATCTCAAGTCTTAGTGTGCTGGTACTATCATAAGTAAATAGTTTAATTTTCCCTAATTTAATACATACTCCATGCTAACTAAATCATAACATCAGCACATTGTAAACAACCTTTGAATGCAAGGCATCCCTCAGCCCTGCCAGCACATCTACCTTTGGCCTTTTTATTCTTTTTGTTTTGTTGTGGTGGTTTCTTTGGAAGAGATGGGGTAAGCAGGCAGTGAATAAAACAATTCTGACAAAAGTTTACAACAAATCTAGTCTATCACTTATGGTTCGCATACCTCTTCCAATTTTTCCCAAATATCGTTACATTCCTCCAAGAGTTCTTTCTTGGCTTCTAAAGGACAAAGTTCACTGGTGGGTTCTGCCTCGGTGGGTTCTGCATTGACGAGTTCAGCCTAAAAACAAGCAAACAGAACAGTTATCGTGTATATCTACAACAATTTTTACCAGTTACAGAATCATACCTGCCACTTCAGGTCAAATATACAACAGAATGCAAAGCTTTCAATTAACTCCCCTGCAGCTCTAGATAGCGCCCAATTATTAAGTAAAATCAGCTAACTATATGACTATAGTAAAATTAGAAGACACGAATAATTTACTTTTAAAATTGAATCACAAAATCCTAAATTTTCCAGCCTGCTTTGATTACCTGCAATGGCTTTTCTTTTCAACAACTTTAATACAGAAACAATAAGAGAATCTTACATCTACAAAGCTGTGCTTTTCCTCTGTATATCTGCTAAATTCTTAAGCACTTACTTCTGCTCTGTCTTCCAATAAATGTCCTAATCTATTTCTCCTTCGTTACAATTCAGAATATTTTTGATTAACAAATTAAAACATCCTCAAAATTACTAGAAAAACAAACAAAAGAGTCTGAAAAATATACAGGCAACCAAGGAAAGAGGGCACCAAGACATCTGAGAGAAAAATTAATCCAAGTTAAAATAAAAACCTTGAGAAATGTTGGGTCAGAGAGAAACACACACAAATTCAGAAATTTACTCCTAGTTAAATCTATGAAGAGATACCCAAATTACAACCGTGGCTAAGATGGGAAACACAAGAAGGGCCAAAATGGCACTCAAAGGAAACTTTTCTCTCCAAGGTAAAACAACCAATAGGAACTTCCTAGATGTACTAGATGCAAAAAGCCTTTAAAAATACTTAAGTGGATCACTAAGTCCACCAAAACCACACAGATTAAAGAGATTAAAAAAAAAGATCTAATATACATCTCTTAATAATGCACAAATTCCTAACTCAACTTTTTATTAATTTTCAGAATAAAAACACAGAATCAGAGAAAATTATGTCAAAATCCCAAGTAAATTAAAAGAAGTCAAATATTCAGCTAGTACTCCCAAAGTTCAAGGATGCTATAACAGAGTGGATGAGAAAAAAAAAATAAATCAGAACATCTCACTGAATGCTGGAACTATTCTAGAGTACTGAAAGGTAGCAATACTTCTACTAATCTTCCAGGCTAATTTATTGCATCAATAATTAAAACCAGAACCCTAGAATACCTAACTTGCCATGATAAAGTCTAAAGAGCATAGTTTTAGCACAGGAAAATCATTATCTTCTTAAGAGCCTTGGAATGCTTCCATCACATAAAAGAGAATTAGTTCACATAATTTATTAAGACTTCTGAAATGCCTAAAGCAAAGACTGCCTAGAAGAAACAAAGAAATAAATTAAAAACAGCCTTGAGATGCAATGTACTTTTTTTCTCAGATATAAAAAACTGTCAAGGAGACAAAACAAAGGGGGTTTGAGTGGGGAGAAAAAAAAAAGAAAAGAAAAAAGGAGAGGAAGAAAAAGTACCCAACCTTTTGAAAGTTTGAAAAGGACCTTGGGGTGGAATAAAAAATCCATCCCTGCTGTCCCCTGCAATAATACAATTAATCACCATACAAGTATTATATGAAATAAAACTCTGAATACAAAGCCAGGAAAAAAAAAACTATACAAAAATGATCAAATGATTCTGTTATCCTTGGCTTTAAATTTCTAGATGTATTTCACACAACGTTTCAGAATGTACACATTGTGAGATATTAGAGGCAAGCCAAACTGACTTGTGATCCTTAATGCTGCACTCTTAATTACCTTACATAGCGCATATACTGGAGTATCATATTCAGATGGTTTTTCCTTGTAGCTTGCAGTTTTCCCTATTTCTGTATGGTTAAATTAGGTTTCTATTTTTACACCATACCTGAAAACTGAAGGCTTTTTCGGCATGTCATGACTATTAATGCATTCCAGTTTAAATACGTTATTCCTTCTGACTTTGTTTTAGGACTACCTAATTAGGTAAAAACTACATGCAGGGACAAAAAGTGTGCATTATAGACTCTATGCCAGCCAAGCAAACAGGTAAGCTTTAGGAAAGCGACAGAACCACATAATCCGTCAGATTAGGAGGGACCACAGAGGGTCATCTGGCCCCAACTCCCTGTTCCAGCGGGGTCATCGTAGAACACGTTGCACAGGATTGCGTCCAGACGGTTTCTGATTATCTCCAATGAGGGAGACTCCACACCCTCTCTGGTCAACCTGTTCCAGTGCTCGGTCACCCACAGCTGTTCCTCATATTCATTTTGGTACTCCCGAAAAGAGCCCGGATCCATCCCCCTGGCACCCTCTCTTCACATACTTATAGACACTCATGAGCTGAAATGCGTCGTATGCCCAAACACAGCGCGACCAACTACGGGAAGATACTCAGGGAGCAGAGAGGAATGTAACTGCGGCCGCTGGACAAAGGCAGAAAGGCAGCAATTCACCGTAGGAAGGAGAACATATGAAGGACAGAAATAACACCGCAAAAGGGATGACAAAAAAAAAAGCAGAAGTGAGGCAGGGAGCCCCCGCACCACCCGAGCGGCGGGGAGGCATAGGGTGGTCGGCCTCCCCTCACGGGCGAAGGGCGAACACTGCCCCTTGTCAGGCGGGAAAAGTCATCGCGCCCCCTCCACGGCCGCCCCACGCCCCAGCGGCCGCGATCCCATCCCGGCCCCGCGGTGCCTGAGCGGCAGGACCCCCCCGTTATCCCGGGATCCCGCCGGGAATTCCCGCCGCCCGCTCCCAACCGTTACTACCATGGCGCCTCCGCGCGCGCCGTTCCTCAGCCACTGAGTCACTGGCGGAGCGCCCGGCACGCGGCGGTGACGTACCATCATGGCGGCAGCAGAGCCTGAGCGCAAGCGAAAGGCTCCGGAGGCGGCGGCGGGCGAGGAGCGGGGAGCCGCGGAACTGGGGGAGGACGAGGAGGAGGAGGAGGAGCGCTGGGTCGGGCCGCTCCCAGGGGAGGCCGCGCAGGCGAAGAAGAGGAGAGGTAACAGAGGAGCGAACGTCCACCGGCCGGACCCTGTGTTGGGGAGCGCTGCCCCGGGCCGGGTCCGGAGCGGCGGGAGCGGCCCCGGGGGAGGGCGGCTGGGCCCGTGTGTTCTGGAGCGGTGTCTCTCGTGCAGAATGGCCACGCTGTGTGGGAACCCTTCGGGAGCGGGGTAACAGCCCAGAGGCTACAGGGAAAACGGAGAGGGACCCTTCGTCAGGAACTGTAGTGACAGGACAGGGAGTAATGGGTCCAAATTGAAAACGGGAAAATTTAGGTTAGATATTAGGAAGAAATTCTTCGTTGTGAGGGTAGTGAGATACTGGAACAGGTTGTCCAGGAAGGTTGTGGATGCCCCAACCCTGACAGTGTTCAAGTCCAGGCTGGAAAAGGCTTTGAGCAACCTGGTCTTTTGGGAGGTATCCCTGCCTATGGTGGTGGGGGTTGGGATAAGATGATCTTTAAGGTCCCTTCCAACCCCTTAACATTCTATGATTTATGATTTCTGCTTTCTCTTGTGGACACTGTCAGCCTCAGAGCCCCTACTGTGCAGACTGAAGCCTTACTGTTTAGGGTCGTGGAGTTCATCTGTTTTCTGGATCATCGCCCTAAAATGGAGATGCCTCTAGGCAATATTTTGAGGCATGGTATTGATGACCGCAGCAACTCTCAGCTTTCCAGGTGTCATTGTAAAGTAAATGTGCCTCTAACGATGCCGTTTTCAGGTGTTAACAGGGTGTAAAAACCAAGAGACAAATGCCAAAATCAGATTATTTTGGGTGGGCCAGTTAAACAGTGAAAGAGATAGGTGTCAGTACTTGGACTTGAAACTACAAGACCTGGGTGAGATCATGAATCTCTTAACAACAGGGATACATTTTGTTTTGGAATAAAATAAGGTGCAGAGAACCTTCCCTTTTCTGGAAGTAAATTGTTGATTTTTATTTTTTTCATATATTGAGACAGCTAAGGTAATAGTTGCTTTAAAAGGGAAAAGCAGTATGAGTTCAAGGAGAGTTTGAGTGGTTTTAGTCCACTAAAATTTTGAGTGCAAAGCCAGACCTAAAAGCCGTTTTATTATGTTTGCATAAAATCCCAGCATATTTTAGACTGAAATATGAATAAGCAATTCAAGTAAGGGAGAACAGAAGCTGTACCTTTATGAAAAAAAAAAACTTCCTGATTTTTCTTTTTATTCTGTGTAGTTCTTGAATTTGAACACGTTTACCTTGAAAATCTACCATCTGCTTCAATGTATGAACGCAGTTACATGCACAGAGATGTCATTACACACGTAGCATGTACTAAGTAAGTATCTTTTTTTCCAGGCTCTTTCTTTGTCAGGGGTGTATTTTTATATATGATAAGAAGCTTTCATTTTAAATGTTTAGTAATGGAAAGTTACAGTGTCCTGTAACTTTTAAAAGTTTTGGGGTTTTTTTTTCGAAAACTAAGTGCAAAGGAAAGGTTTACTTAGAAGGAAGATTAAAAAAATGTTTACATAAACTAAAGGAGGGTCTTAAAATCCTTATCAAAATGTGCAGGATATACAGGAATAAGATTGACTGACTGCCTCTGAAAAAGCACCATTCAGCAGACTGCAGAGATCACACGCACACAAACACACACACACAGAAATAGTAACTACTGTGAACTAAAATAGGAGTTACATTTACATATTCAGAAAGGATAGTGTTATAATTTTTCAGAGTGTTGACTTTTCATATATTAATCCAGAATGCATTAAAATACCTGTTTGCTTTTCCAGGAGTGATAGTACCCATTCAGACAGATTGTCACAGTAATTTCTTAAAAGTTCATCCTCTACAGAGTGTTAATTATGGTGCAGATTACTGACCAGTGGGAAAGTGCATAATGTGTTATCTCTTTTCTTGTTTTTAATTTTCTTTTGTAATTGTAGGACAGATTTTATCATAACAGCCAGTCATGATGGACATGTAAAATTCTGGAAAAAAATAGAAGAAGGGATTGAGTTTGTTAAACACTTCCGAAGTCACCTGGGTGAGAAGTTACTTTTTCTTCTTTAAAGGGCCTCACTTTTTCCTCTCCACTGATTTTGTTGTTTGAAGAGGGAGTGCAAATAGAGAGACAGATTCTGGAGTTCATTTAGTGCAGTCAGGAATTAATTGATATTTGCCTGTCTTCCTTCATTCCTCTATCCCGTAATGTTTTGCTCCCAGACTGCAGGAGGGATAGGGTGAGAATAAAACATGTAGGACTCTGCTTGCACAGATCCCCTACATCCTTTGCATTGCCTTGTGCCCTGCCTGTGGAGAGAATATCTGGGACATAACTTAACAAGGTACATAACAGGGTTCATAAAATCCAGAGGAGTTTAAAAATATGTTGCCTTAAATGAAGTTGTATTTTTTTGTCCCTTGTAGTAAGGAAAAAAGTGCATTTTTTTCATCTGGAGTTATTGTAACTGTAGAGTAAATTCTACATCATTGTTACGATTATTGGCTGAATTGCAATTAAGAGTAATTTTAACCCAATTTTCTAAGCTAATAAGTACAGTTCTTCAACACTATGCTGAGTGTTAAATAGACTGAACAGAAAATGACTCTCTCCATGGTGTTAGAAATTATCATATGCCTGAAGGGAAAAAACCCTCAGTTTGATATGCTGACTGTTACAGTAAGAAAAATATTTAATAATAGGTAGTAAAAATAGTTTCCTTTTAGCTTTGCAAGAAATATTAAAGTAGGTTCTTGAGCTTAACTATCAGATTCTCATTCTATACAGAAGCAAGATGTGAAAACAAAACCTACCAGGCAAAAATAAGCATTATGAGAAATTTATGGAAGGTTCAATTGCAGAGTAATTTTGAGTATTGTGTGTGTAATAGTCTACAGAGTTCTGCTGCTTTTTCCCTGTTGAGAAATGCAAGCTGAAGAGC